CAGTTCATTCCAAAAGCAGTCTTGACTGCCACTAGCAAAGTTCCATCTCCCACCCCTCCAAATGTAGAATATCCACAAGAATAATTGCAGGCCTTTACAGGTAAAAGGTAAAATGAATGGAAGAAGCAGTGCAGGAAGAATAATCAATTATTGGTCTGGATGCAACACAATATCATTGTTTAGAGTTGTTGCGTGCATGGTCAGAATGGCCACAATGACATCCAGCCTCTAATAGGAAAGGGATGAGAAGACCACTGCCTCTTCAATTGGACATGTTGGAATAAGATGTTCCTTGCTTAAAAATTGAATTTCCTTTTTTTCCTTTTTCAGTCTGCATTTAGTCTTGCCATTAGGCAAAAGGGGATGGGTGATTCAGAAATCATATACTTTTTGTTTGTTCCTTGTTGGCCGCGGCTCTTCGGCCCCGGCGGTGGCGACAAACAAGCAGCAGCAGGAAAAGAAAAGGAAAGGGAGAGGGAGGGAGGGAATGAGCAACAGACCATCAAGACCGACCGATGGACGGGCACGAGCTCTGCACGGCAGGTTGCGAAAGGAGACGGGGTGGGAAGCATGCGCAAAAAGGCTGTTCTCTCGGCATCACCCCCTCCCACAGCACGTCTGGGCAGGGAGCAGAAGAGCACCAGGTGGGAGGAAGGAGAAGCGCGCAGCCAGGTTGTGAGCAGGGGCCCTCCTTCTTCACCTCAGCTGCAGAGAGGACGAGGTGACAGCAGCAGCCTTGCCAAGTGACCTGCAAAGGGCGGGGAGGAGAGAGATAAAAGTAGAAGCTCCGGTGGTGCCAAACCCCTGAGGGAGAAGACTGCCAGGCAGGGAGAGGGCTCCCCTTCTGGGTGCTTCAGGGGGAAAGGCAGGACACTCCGCCCCTGTACTTGCCAAGTAGGTGCTGCCACAGCTGCTGCTCCCACTCCAGGTTGGGCTGAAATTAGAAACCAGGCAGATTTTGTTGCAAGCGCAACATGCCCACCAACGAGCATGACTTGCCCCTCCGCAAGTGCGACACGCCTCCTTGTGCATGCGTGCGGGGGGGGAGATCCGTGTGCATGGCCCAGTTAAAGGAAGCCCACGGACCGGCACCGGGCCGTGGGCCAGGGGTTGATGACCTCTGATTTAAAGGTTTTGCTCTTACGCAAGCCCAGCTTCCCTTGGGAAACCCATGGAAGTCCCAAGAGTTCTCTGTCAACCCTACTCTTGGTGCCAATGTCTCTTTCAAGTTTCCTTTCTTAAGAAATCACTGCAGGCTGCCTGACAAATAGATTCCACTATCACTTCTTCAACGAAGCAGAAACTTAGCCTTTTGCTTTGTAATCTGCAGGAGTAAACAGGGCTCTGAATATTAGGAATCATTACAGTATCTGAATCCAAATTACCAAATTTGGATTTAGATAGTTTCAGTATGGTAGAATCTGAGTATTTGGATACTTTTTTATAAGTGATTTTATCATAGAATCGTTGTAGGGTTGGAAGGGACTTTGGAGGTCTTCTAGTCCAACCCCCTGCCCAAGGCACGAGACTTCTTACCATCCAGGACAGATGGCTGTCTAATCTTTTCTCGAAAACCTTTAGCGACATCGGGAGACAAGCTGTTCCACTGCTTAATGGTTCACACAGTCAGAAAATTCCTTCTTATTTACAGGTCGAATCTCCCTCTGATGAGTGTCCACCCATTGATTCTTGTCCTACCCTCAAGCACAATGGAGAATAAATCGATGCCCTCTTCCCTGTGGCAACCCTTCAGATATTGGAAACCTGCTATCATGTCTCCCCTCATTCTCCTCTTTGTTAAGGTAAACATACCTAGTTCTTTTAGTCATTCTTCATATGATTTAGCCTCCAGTCCCCTTATCATCTTTGTTGTTCTTCTCTGCACCCCTTCCAGGGCTTCAGCATCTTTTTTGCATTGTGGTGACCAGAACTGGACACAGCACTCTTGAGTGCAGCCTCACCAGCGCAGTAGAGTGGCACTATCCCTTCCCATGATCTTGATACTATCCCCGTTGATGCAGCCTAGGACTGTGTTGGCTTTCTTGGCAGCTGCAGCACACTGCTGACTCATCCTTAGGCGGTGGTCCACCAGGACACCTAAATCCCTCACAGGTACTACTGTCGAGCCAGGCACCACCTGTCCTGTGCCTGTGCATCTGGTTTCTCCTGCCTACATGCAGGTCCTTACTTTTCCCACCACTGAACTACATCTTATTGGGTAGGTCCCAATGTTCAAGTCTGTCTAGATCCTTCTGAATGTTGAGTCTATCTTCCAAAGTATTAGCAATTCCCCACCCCCAGCTTTGTGTCATGAGCCAATTTGATGAGTGCTCCTTCAATCCCCTCATCCAGGTCATTTATTAAGATGTTGAAGAGCACTGGGCCCAATTGCACACTTCTCTCCACATAGATGTGGTTCCATTGAGGACCATACGCTGAGTGCGGTTGGTCAGCCGGCTGCAAATCAATTCTTTACACAGAAATAAGCGGTGCTCTACCATATCAAATGCCTTACCGAAGTCTAAGTATACTATATCCACTGTTTTCTTGGTTCACTAATTTTGTCACTTTATCAAAGAAGGCAGTAAGATTTGTTTGGCATGACCTGTTCTTAACAAACCCATGCTGGCTTCTAGTTCTCGTAATCACCTTGTTATTTTCTAGGTGCTCACAATTCTGCTGCTTATTTTTCCCAGGATTTTCCCAAGTACTGAAGCCAATTGGTCTATAGTTTCCTGGATCCAATTTTCCCCCTTTTTTGAAGACTGGAACCACATCAGCTCTTTTCCAGTCCTCCGTCAGTTTGCCCGTGCTCCAAAACCTCTCAAAGATTTCATTCAGTGGTTCCGAGATCACGTCTGCCAGTTCTTTTAGAACCCTGGGATGTAAACCATCGGGTCCAGGAGACTTGAACTCATTCAAAGCAGTTAGGTATTCTTTTACCACTTCCTTACCTATTTTGACCTGCTTCCCTCTCCTGTCTCCCACAATGCTGCTTTTGACAGGGTGGACCAATTTTTCCTTTTCCATAAATACAGATGGAAAACAAGAAGTAAGCAGTTCTGCTTTCTCCCTGTTGCCTGTCACCTTCTTGTCATCTTCTCCCACTAGTGGACCAACCATTTCCTTGACTTTCCTCTTGCTCCTTACATATTGAAAGAAACATTTTTATTTTTGGCATTTGTTGCATATCTTACCTCATTCTGAGCCTTAGCTTTCCTGACGCCATCCTTGCAGATTCGAGCTGTTTGTTGGTATTCTGTTCTAGTTATGAGCCCTTTTCAGTTTTTTTTATTTATCCTTTTTTTTGGGATAAATGAATTTCAGAGTTCCTGCCATTCTCTTATCAATCTTAGGTGCCAAGGGATGAAATATGTGGCTTTTTCTTTCAGTGAGTATTTTTAAGGTATCATATTAGAATTTGTCACGAGAGGAAAGCAGGCAGTTATTCTCCGATATTTTTCTAGCCTACTGATAATATGCAACACGTTAATAACAGGTAACAGAGCAAATTACTTACACAATCAATTGGCAACAAGGGTGTTGGGAAATAGTGAGTAGCCCAGCAAGTTCCTTTTGGAAAACAATGTTAGGAGTAGAGATGTGGATATTCATATTTGTATACAAATACCCTTCCACAGGTGGAGATAACAATGGTCTGGCCCAACTTACCGATACGCTAATGCTGCGGGATCCACTCTGCTGTCCTATCGCTCCAGGGATCGTGATCGCCAAGCCACTCTTTGACGTGGCAGAAGGCCTGTCGTCCCGTCTCCTCCCAGGAGTGGCTTGGCGATCTCAATCTCTGGAGTGATAGGAGACGGCAGCGCGGATGCCATGGCATTAGCGCATCGGTGAGTGGACCATCCGGCCCCATGGAGCCAACCCTCGTTACCTCCACCTGTGTGGGTGGTATTCGTATATGAATACCCCCATCTCTAGCTAGGAGCTCTGGACAGAATTTGAAATGGATACATGGCAAGATATAGACATTTAGGAATTCAGCATTTTTGGACACAAGGGCCAATACATGTTGCTTTGTTTACAAACAGCTATTTCTCAATTTTTATTTTTCCATATTAAAACCTCTCCAGATCTGCTTCCTGGTGAACAAACACTTAACAGCTAATACATTGTTTACTGCTTGAGTTTGTGTTTTTTTCTGCTAGAATATTGTAGGCCTGAGGAGGAAAAGCCAGTTTCCAAGTACCTAGCTTTGCACACAATCACATGTACTTCTAATAAGCCTATGAACAAACTGTAGGATTTATGAGAAGCTTCAGGTATTACAAATGTGGACATTGTGTGAATGGGGAACATTCTTCCTTTTTCTTGACATGTTTAAATAGCTCAGCAAAACTTTCTCTTACAGAAGGTAGAATCCAAACAACATCTAAATTGCCCGGGAACCAATTTTGACAACATTCCCCAATCAATGCCCAAATTACTTCATATTGCAGAGACAGGAGTAAGAAGAAACCATTTTTTGTGCTTTCATCTAAGAAATTCAGGTGCAGTGTATCTCAGGTGTTCCAGGTATTTTTTTTTTTTTTAGAAAAATCTATCAGCTCCACTCCATTCTATTCACAGGTTCTTTGAAAGAGCTTCCAGACCTTTCCGATAATACTTGAAAGAAAGACTCTGGAATCATTTACGTGAGGCTGCTGCATTGCTCAGTGAAACCCAGTTCCAAACTCTTATTCTCTCTGCAGCCACTGGGGAATTCGCTGCCCTCAGAATGCCTGTACAATCACTTTCCGCTTCACATCACGGCTGAATCTGTTCATCTTGAACAACTCGCTGTCATAGAAGGCAGAAAGGTTGTGGATGTTGATCTGCCGAGCCTGGACAGAAAAGAAAAGAGGAGTCTGTTAGATCTTTCTATACGTGATCCCTGAAAAGGATATACTATGGATTTCTATTCTTCTAGCACAAAACAAACAAAAAACCCCAGGACTGTGGTAGAAACAGAGACGATTATTACCATTAAAACATCTGCATTTTTTTCCTTAAGAACGAGATGCTTCAAGGCATCTCACTGTAAGTAAAATATACAAAACTCAATACAGAAACATTGGCTGAAATTCAGGAGGTGGCCAAATGAATTTGGGGGAATCCGGTGAGTCAACACCTATGTAACTTCCACTGATTCAAAGGGCCTACTCCAGTAATGACTTACTACTGGATGTCAGCCATTGTTAGTTGAACTATCTCTAGAGGTAAGAATGACGAAACTGTTGTATTTTGAGCACTTCATGAGAAGGCAGGATTTGCTGGAAAAGACAATAATGCTGAGAAAAGCTGAAGGCAAAAGATGGACCGACTTCCTAAAGGAAGTCACAGACTTGCGTTTACAAGAGCTGAGGAGGCCAGCTGAGGACAGGACGTTTTGGAGACCTTTCATTCATAGGTTCGCCGTAAGTCGGAGGTGACTTGATGGCACGTAACAAACTAAGAACACAGGCAGGCATACAGGCTTATTGTGTTTACTCATCATCTATCCTATCTTCTGCATGTGGCTAACAGTTACAAGGGCTAGATAACAGTTACAGGATTGGAAGTAGGAGGCCACTCTCTATCTGTTGCTACAGGGTGGTGAAGAGGCAGCTTGCAGAGATCCAGAAACACACAGATTCATCTGTGAATGCTGGAGGAATGTAAATGCTCCTATAATTTTTTTAAAAAAACTTAAATTTTTTTATTTTTATT